AAAAAAAGCTAGCAGTTTCTTATGGTTACTAAGACAATGAGACAGAGGTGAAGCGGCTACTCTGGACATGACCTCTAGTGGACCTTGCTCCAGAAGTGGGTCCAAAGAATCAAGGACAGTCTCTTCCTGCTGGGCCTTAGACTCAGGAACTTTCCACTTAAAGCTTTCACTATCTGGAATGAGCTTGATGCAAAGTTCTAACAGGGGAATGCAGCTCCTCATTGACCCTTGATGGAAAGATGGCTTCCGTTTCCTAGAAATATCATTCACTCCAGCCAACGATAGTTTTGGCCACTAGAAGAAGGACACCTGCCAGGCAAGTCTGATCAGCCTACTCCACTCTGGTTGCTCATGGGAGGACAACTACCCTCATGTCACTGCCTGGAAGTTCTATTTCGTTCAGCCTCAGATTGTACAACAAAAAGATGCAATGGAATACAAGTAACAGGCCAGCCAGGATTCTTAGCAGATAAGAGGGTGTCTTCCTATTATCACATTTTGCTGCAAGAATTTTCAACTGTGCCTCAGAAGTAGAGAATGTCTGAGCCCGTGTATTCTTTTTGCAGAGGTCTTGTTAATGGGGACACCCCAAATACTAATTGGATTCTGGGGACAACTCCTTAAGCAATCTAGCCTTATTTGAAAATTTCTTTACAAAATAGAATTGTGAGAAACATTTTTTAGACTAAAACATTTCTAGTCATGGAGACCAATATTGCAGTTGGGCTAAGTGTAAGTGTTAATGGGAATTTTTTTTTACTTCTTCATTCCTATCTACAAATTAGTTACCTCCTGAAGACCTAGTTCTACTTAGTATGTAAATAGGGAAACTTAGTTGGTGCAATTTCATGCTTGGTTTGTGTTCTCTTCAATTCTATTTATCAAGTGGTTTGCATTCTATTTTAAATGCTTTCACTCTTAAATGCAAGAATATATAGAGTAATATTTCCCTTCCCAGATTATCACACCTGTGACTATTTTAAGCATCCAGAAACCAGTCCAGGACATAGGTGAAAAGAGCTAAAATAACACCACATCATAGAATCATGCACTTTGCTCCTCAGATTTCCACTCAGAGCCTTACTAACTCTTCTTTAACATACAAGCTAAACCAGTTTGTTTAATTAATTTCTACCTCTAAAGCAGCTTAGAAGGAAATAATACTAGTTACAAGATGGAACAGTCAGGCAAGTAAGGGGCTGGTGGTGGAGAGGGCACAGCAGGCAGGGGAACAGTGTAAAGGCTCAGGGGTGGGGAGACTACACTGCACCCAAAGAACTGAAGACTTCCCATGTAGAACCACCTGACCCAGGAGGACATGTTAATGCAGTTCATCTTTTTTCTAAGGACAATGGAAATTCATTGCAGAGTCGACCTACGATGTTTGAAAAAAAATCACTTGATGGCAATGAATAGAACAGATCAGAGTGAGAGAGCAGTTAAGGGGGATAAGATAGGAGGATTTTGCAGTCCTCTAGGGAGGACTGAAGGTAAGGAAGGGGGTGAGAATAAAGAGGTGCAGCTAGATTCAAAAAATATTCAAGAAGTACAAACTGACAGGATTTGGGATGGACCAAATATGGAAGGTGAGGAAGAAGGAGTCTAGGATTACCTTGACATTCTGGCCTGGGCAGTTAGGTGCAAAGTAGTGCCAGCCACTAGATCAGTGGTTCTCAACCTTCTGGCCCTTTAAATATAGTTCCTCATGTTGTGACCCAACCATAAAATTATTTTCGTTGCTACTTCATAACTATAATGTTGCTACTGTTATGAATTGTAATGTAAATATCTGATATGCAGGATGGTCTTAGGCGATCCCTGTGAAAAGGTCGTTCGACCCCCAAAGGAGTCGTGACCCACAGGTTGAGAACCGCTGCACTAGATGGAGGATACTACAGAAGAACAAGGGTATTAGGGGATGAAGAGTAGGGACCTGTGAATATAACTCCAGACCTGCCAAGTGTGGAGCTCCAGTCTCAATCAAAAAGTTGCATGTATGTGTCTGGGGTCCAGAGGCCAGGTCTGGGTGCAAGATACAGGGTTCAAGCCCTGCACTTCCACTGGTTATGAGTCCTGTGAACGTAGTAGGGACAACAGATTTTAATGTCAACGTCATCACTGGGAAAGAACAAGCAGTTTCTAGAGAAATGTACTTTTGATAAGTTTGGTTTCAGAGAATTAAACCAATTACACTTCCCAAAGACATTGGATGAAACAAGAAAAATGGGTTCCATGTCATAAGTCTCAAAACCATACAAGCATCATGTAATAGTGCACAGTGGCTTTAATTTAATATAGGAATACATCAACATCATAGAACATACAGATGTCTTCACAGGGCAAAGTTCACAATCACATTCTAGGGAAGACATTGAGAACAAATGGAATTCTGAACAGCATTTTGCAGTATGCGAAAGAGTTTTAAAGTTGTGGTGGCACAGGCATGGGCGTGAACTAAGAAATGTGGTGTTAATGACACACAGGACTAAAGGAAAGGAGTATGAAGAAAGTAGAGCAGAGGAATTCAAAGCAAAAGTTTTCATATGGCAGATGGGTTTGGACAGTGGCTCTGCCACTTACTAACTAGGTGACCTTGGACAAGAATCTCACCTTTCTAAGCTCAGTGACCTCTTCAGTAAAATGGACTACTGGGAAGAATAAATGAGACACTGCATGCAACGTTCTGAGAACACACAGAGTAAGTACTTAATTAGCATTCACTGTTTGATAATGATGACAATGATATGGGACTGTTTTATAAAAGTGGCATAAACCAAAAAGGTCAGTTAGTTCTAGGATAAGTTGGGATATGCCAAGTAAACATACTATTAATATGACTTTTATTAATCACATCTTACATGTATACAAAACTTTATAACCTTCAAAAGCAATTTTGTATATTTTATTCATTTAATCTTAACAAAAATCCTTCAAAGTAGGTAAATACTTTACCGATTTTACAGATGATGAAACTAAACCTTTTGGAGTTTAAGTAACTCAACCAAAGTCACTCAGTTGTGGAGAAATCTCCTCTAATCTATAGAAGGGGCCCTGTAGCTAAATATAATATAAAAGATGGATGAGGGTTCTCACTACCTTGCAAGGAAAGCCAAGGAATGGAGGCAGATTGAATGCTGATGTCATTGTGTTGAGCTGCTAAATGAAACTGAACAAATCTTCAAATAAACAAACCAATAGATTTTTTTCTGTTGCCCCACTAGTTTGAGTAGTGCTTCCATCACTTGCAACCAAAATTATCGTGACTAATATATCCAGTGACATTAGACAACTCATTATTCCTTCAACAGAATCCAAGCATTTTACCTCTATGACTATCCTCCTGCTATTTCCACCAACTGGTATTCCTTCTCTTGCCTGTTGAATACCTATCCGTTCTTCAAAGTCTACTCTCTTACCATCTGTTAAATAAGGCCTCTCCTGATTCCACTAGTTCAAGAACTTCACTTATTCCTCCCCAAGCACTTGATTTGTACTTCCTATGGAGAATCATACTCTGGAGCAACTGTCTCTTCCCCCTTTTGTGTCCATTATAGCGCCCTGAACAGTATCTTACACATGGCAGACCTTCAGTAATAATTGATTTTACCACATTGCATAAAATGGAATATTAAGTAATTTCTCAGAAGATTGTCAATGTTGATACTTAGCTACTTAAATGTTAATAGATGTGACAAAACAAAAGAGTAATCGGACCTTAGTTTCACATCTCCATGTCTATGAGATGAACATGCAGTATTAGACATTTCTGGGTATCCCCCACAGCTGGTCTTTCTGGATATCATTTTCAGGGTAGCAGAATATAACTTCCCTAAAAAGTAGAAAATTATAAGTTACAAATCCTTCATGTGTCAGATAGATTTTTATCGGTTTTATATTGCACACAGATTTTATTATATATATAGACTTTATTTCGCAGATGTACTGTTATCTGCACTGATAGAAGGCATGTCACTGAGCTTCCCAAACCTAACAAGAATATTATAAGCATACTTTAATAACATGTGTCTTCTATCATTTGCACTGCATCTCAAAATAGCTTTGCAATGTTATATTTTACTATTGCTTATAACAAATCATGTAACCTAGTCCTCCCCCAAGAAAAAACGAGAGAATGAATTCAAATAAGAAATTTTTTTGCATAAAGATCTAGAAAGATGTTTTAAATTTCTAATCTGAGCTTATTCTATGAAATGAAAACACATTAATCATTTTCTATCTACACAGCAGTCAAATTGAAGAGGAAGATTCTACTTTCTAATGCTTGGTTATTAAAATGTGTTCTAAATGAAAGGCATAAAATGCTTATTTCCATACAAACTACTAGACAGCAAAATGAATGGATTCATCATGCTCATGGAAAATGCAAGCACCTGAGAGAGAGAACGAGAAAGAGAGAGGAGAGAGAGAGAGAGGAGAGAGAGAGAGAGAAAGGAGAGGGAGAGGGAGAGGGAGAGGGAGAGGGAGAGGGGGGGAGAGAGAGAGAGAGAGAGAGAGAGAAAGAGAACTAGAGGAATGCTGGAGCATTTACCTTTCAGAATAACTATTTTCTAAGATTACTCTTAATTAGCTAATGGTTTTTGGTCTACCAAAATAAAACTAATATTTGCATAGTACCTTACAGTTTATACTTCACTCTGATAATTATTCCTGATACCGCCTGTTTGTGCCCCCCCACACACCCAATTCATATGTTGAAACCCTACTCCCCAGTGTGATGGTATTAGGAAGTGGGGCCTCTGAGAGGTGATTAGATGAGGTCATGAGGGTGGAGTCATCACAATGCAATTAGTGCCCTGATAAGAGTCAGGAGAGAGCCTGCTGCCAGTTTGCGATAATTTTGTTATAGCATTAAAAAAAAAAAAGCTAAGGCAAGCCCCACTTTATATTTATGGAAAATGAAGCTAAGTGGCAGTACATGACGAAGGCGCTGTGTCTCATCCCCAATGGCCACGTAACATGTTGCACGAGTGACAATAAATTCACTGCTCATGAGACTCTTTCCCCAGCTTTGGTTTCATACCATAGTTGCCTTGAGGTTTCCAAAAGCTGGTCTCTTCTGGAGTTTCCTCTTCCACACAGCCTCGTCCTTGGGGACAGGTGTCCCTCTCACCTTCCAGAGCCGTATCACTTTCACACCCATCTCTCCACTCCTTGGTCTCCCTGTCTAGGCTGGACCCTTCAGACCGGCCATTTCCCTCTGCAGATGTGATGGCTGGCTCTGATTCAGAGAGTCTAGGCCCCTGGAGAGGCAAAGAGCAGCTCCTCCCTTTTGAAGGAAGCCCCCTGATCTTGTTCAGCATCCGCAAATAATAGAAATATGTCTCCAATACACTGGCCTCTTGCTCTGGTTCACGTGGTGGCTCATCCCTCCAGGAGACGCTATCACCAACATCCTTGAGTGGGAAGGACCCCTTCAAACCAGTGTTGGAAATATCTCGGGAAATGGGGCAATCTGAAGAAAGCATCTTTTCCTTTTTCTCATGAGTTGTTTGCCTGGTGACTGCTCGGGGCATCTGTACTGATCCATCATCCATCCTAGGTGGTGGCACCTGGTCCAACCAAGCGCTGCTGTGTGTACCACGAGCCTCTGCAATGGGTCCATGAGACATAGCACTCTCCAAGGGGCCCTCTGGCACACTCTGCGAGAGGCTGGCAATTTGAGGGGTCACATAACTCTCAGGATGTGTTAGGTCAAATTGCCTCTGAGTTACCGCAGGAGGGCTGCTCTTAGCAGAACTCTGCACGCTTCTGTTCAGACCACCTCTTGGCCCTCTCCCCATGATAGTCTTCCCTGAGCTCTCCGTGGTGACATGTTTCCATTTATTTTTATGCTTAATACCAGTTTTGGGTAACCACAAAGTGAACCCCATATTGTCTGATTCCTTTCTCTTTTGATTGGAACTGTCATAGGGAGGCATTAGTTGACCCACAGGGAGTCTCTGGATGGGGTCTTCACCTCTGGAGATGTCGTCCCTGAATTCCACTGTGACATCCTTGGGGGTCCCCACAGGGGGCTGCACTGCTCCTGTGCATTCCTCTCTGACTTCAGCCTCCAGGAGTATCTCCCCAGGGGGAGGAACACTGCTTGGCACCATGGTCTTCAACATTGGTGTGTTCTCACTTGGGGGAGATGAGGCAGTTCCTGAAAACCCTCTATACTTCCTGCCTAGGACACCCCTGAGAAGTGTCCCTTTACTTTCCTCAGGTTCATCTAAACATTCCTCCTCTGAGCTGTCCATCAGTGGAGCCCAGAAGTAACCATGTCTGGGTGGGCTCTGACCGGCTTCCTTTGAAACATCACTTTCTTCGGAAGTGAGTCTGAGTTGTGGTTGAGCCCCCCGCTCCTCATCTCCATTGGGGTCCTGGATATGACTACCTCTTGCTCTGTTGTACTTGCGTTGAGCATAATCTTCCTGCTGAAGCCTAACAGGAGGGTATCCGGCAGCTCTTCCCTCCCCCTCATTCCTAACTGCAGTTTCTCGCCACACACAAGACTGGCTATCTAAAAAACCCTCCTTCTGGAAGAAACTTGAAAATTCAGAAGACAAGCCCATTTCTGATAAATTATCTTGGGGTCTTAAAGAGCAGCTGTGAATGTCTGTTCGTGTGTTGGACTGGTCTTCTCTGAGCAGGGAAAGAGAATCAGATGACCTCACACGGGCATTTCTCTTACTTCCTAGAGCTTTTGAACTTTGACAAAGATTAGACTGAGGGAGTCCTACAGAAGTCGTGGGACTCTTCAACCCCTGCTCTTCTGGAGCGTTGGACAAGAACTTCTGGGCCCAATTTATAACATGTCGCAGCTTCTGTGTTTCAGGCACCAAGGCATCTTCCAACAGATGTAGGTCTAGGTCTGTTGGGTAACTCTCTCTCCATGGCCCCTGCTGGGTCCACAGGTCCAGGTACTGCTCTGTTTCTCTAGGAGCCACTCTGGACACCTCCTGGAGCAGAGGTGTCTTTCCAATTGCTAAATAACGTGGTGGCTTCTGAGGTCCTCTCAGAACAAAGGTTTGATTTTCTGAGGGACTCACTTTGGTGTCCTGGGAACTTGTGGACACCTGTTGACTGCCATTTCTGGAAGCATCATCCTTGATGATCCCAATGCTTTCATAGTAAGCCACACGCTTGGCTCGTAAGTGCTTCAGGTCACGGGTTCGAGGAGTGTCTGCCTCATTCCATGGAGAACATTCAGTCAGTGTGGGGGGTAAGGGATCCATCTGCAAATACAAAGGCAGAGACATTAAAAAAGAAAGAAAGCCATCAATCACTTTTCTATCTACAATGTGACCCTACTGTATCCACTAACATCCTAAAACCCAACTAACATTTTTATAAGAACTTGAAACAGTTTTGTAACTACAAAAGCAAAGCAACCAAGGTATCAAGAGAAACAAAAACAATTTCCACCATTAGGGTTTTATTAAATTCAGTCATACTCTGGGTCTTAGTCACTGACTAAGAAAGGTTAATTTTATCTATATATCTATCTATCTACCTATCTATCTATCTATATGTTTTTATTGATTTTTTTACAGAGAGGAAGGGAGAGGGATAGAGAGTTAGAAACATCGATGAGAGAGAGACATCGATCAGCTGCCTCCTGCACACGCCCCACTGGGGATGTGCCTGCAACCAAGGTACATGCCCTTGACCGGAATCAAACCTGGAACCCTTCAGTCCACAGGCCGATGCTCTATCCACTGAGCCAAACCAGTTAGGGCAATTTTATCTTTTGAAGGGGATATATGCCAATTAAGTGAATATAAAACAGAAAAATGACTTTTAAATAAAGTTAGTCTGGTTTATTTCAAGGTTATTATACTATTTAATTTCTTTTTTTACCAAGCATATCAATTACTGTGATTTTTATAAATGGCATAGTAATTTAAAAAGAACAAAAACAAGCAAGTCTAAAAGGAGGAGGAAAGAGAAGAGGACAAGATAGGAAAAGAACATTTATTCAGGCCCATTTAATACAACCATCTCATACCAATTTATTCCTCTCCTTTCCTCTCTCTGAAATCAATAAAAATATTAAAAAGGAAATGTTGGAAATCCACTATCCAACATTCTTGTTTTACAGATGAGGGGATTGAGGCATGGAATGATTAAATAACTTGTTCAAGGTCAGCCATATGGAGAGCAGCAGTGCCAGAACCAGGGCCTGGGCTCCACAGCACCACATGGCTGGGGCCGGGCAAGGTGAGGAGTTCTCAGACCGAAGCACTCCTGTCATCCCTCATTTAGTATCACTGGCCACCTCAGGCGATGCCAGCACACCGTGGTCACTTCTGAAACTACACCATTTAATGTCTGTACCATTGCTTGGAATTTCATCGTATATTGCTTCTTTAGTCATGCATATATTGCTTGCTTGAGTTATAATTACTTGAATTATCTGATATTTTTACCAAAACAGTTATTTTGAAACAACTCAACCTCTGAAAGAGCCTGGTATTCACACTCTAGCAAAATAGGAGACTAGAGAGACTCTTTCCCTCAGTTCCTAACTTCTTCCATTCTCTTTTGAAGTCAAGAACATTTTATTCTAGGTTGGCCCTATAGCCTTGGCAGCACTGGACCAACTCATCAAGAAGTAAGATACAGGGACTGTGGAAATTAGTCAATAGGTCATTGTGGTCTCAATTTTCTACCCATTTCTAATTACATTGCACATTGACTTTATTTTTGTCAGGATGCAGATCAGGATTTCATTAGGGCCACACCGGGGTAAAAATTTCTTGGTTCTCATCTAGGCCAACTGTGATTGTCACTTGTTAGAGATAGACACTCATGTCCAGAGAGAGTAGGACCACAGCTATGCCTACTGCTTCCAAGTCTCAAGGGAATCTGTGGCTTTTGGAAACCAAGTGCCCCCAAACAGCTTTCTTACTGTAGACAATGACAGCATGATGACCCATGGTCAGAAAGTTGCATGCTAATAACTTCAGGAATCCAGAAACCAGTAACTTATACAGAAAAAAAAAAATTAACTCTTGGTGTGTGTGTGTGTGTGTGTGTGTGTGTGTGTGTGTGTAATTGTCTAGGATACCTATGAACAACTGTGTAATCACGACAGCAATAAAAATAATAATTGCTAACACATAGCACTTCATTCTTTGAAAACAGAGAGGCAAAGTTACTTGCCCAAGGTCACACAGCTCATAACTAGAAGAACCAGAATTCCAGCCCACGCCTACTGGTTCCAGAGTTCTTGTTCTTAACTCTTGGATATCCTACTTCTCACTTTTATTTAGTTGGCTCTACATTAACATAACCAACACATAACTCAGGTTGTGTTTTTAGATCCCAAAATGACAGGTGATTAGTTCAAACACAAATAGACTGGCCCACCCATGGAAGAGAAAACATTTGAATTTAAATAGAAAAAAAATAGTTTTAAATTATGGTTTACAGTCACTTAAGCATATGGTCCAGAAATGGTAGTGCTGATATGTGTAGATAGATGTTTGCTTAATAAATCTGCATCTCATTTCTTGTTGAATGCTAAGATACTTTTTAGACCTCAGTGCTTCATGGTTTCAATAGTGTTTCTTGCAACCCACTAAAATTTTCCAAGAATTAAGCCTTACCTCCTGCCCCTCCTCAGACTGCAGTCTGCACATGCCACCTACAGGCACAACATGATGCTGATTTTCTCCAGGGCAGCCAACAAGATTGCTTATCTGACTGTCATCCCTAAAAACGCTGGGAGGCAGAGTGGAAATCAAGGCAAAGGCAAGGGGGACAGTTAGCACAAAACCAGCGACACTGACAGGGACAGCAGGGGAGAATAAAGAAAATGGTAACTAATTGGGAGAAAAGGAAACAGAAGGGTTACCTCCATTAACTTAAGGGCTGGGAAAACTAGAAGTGAGTACAGCAATTACAGACTGGAAATAGAATTTATCGTTTATCTAATTCCAAACCACCATGTGCTCAGGTAAATGATTGCAATGCAAAAGAGATTCCTCTTCTAGGAGGGCAAACCAGGAAACACAACATAGGCTTTACAAAATACTACATATTCTATGGCAAACCTTCTCCCTTCAAGTCCAGCAGACTCCATTGTTCTGTTTCTGGTGCTTACACAATACCTTCTTAGTGTAAAATGACAAAACAGCCTGCAATTCCATCTCAGGCACACCTATGATAGAAGGGACAGGTAGAGAAAATTCTTCTAGTTTTCCCAGTCCCTATTTTAAAGTAGAAGCTTCAGGATTTCCAAGCCTGGTCCCAAGTGAAAAAACTATCCTCTAAATGAGGAGCTCTTTGCTATTATTATTCATTTTCTTTCTCTTCACATGCACCGGCTTGTTGACTGGCTAAAGAATGGCACACCTACCATTTCACTTTTCATTTTCACTTTAAAAAAATTCTACCTTCCCCTTAATCACAACTACAACATTTCAGATGCTCTGGTAAGCATTATAGTATGTGGAAAAAAGTACAGATTTTGGAGTTAGGCAAACAATCCTGGGTTTAAATACCAGCTCCACCACAAGTCATCAGTTTTAACTTTAGTTTCCTCCTTATAAAAAAGCGGGGGGAGGGGCACTTACACTCCTTCCCTATCTCATGCTGCAGGAATAAATGGGGATAAAATATCTTAAGGACCAGAAAAGGTCATTATAAATCTGTTATGTTTCTTTCTCCTCCTAATTTATATGAAAAAAGCAAAAACTCCGAAGTACTCCTTATCTTCGTTCTTTATTTATTTGTCAAACCTTCCTGGGAGCCTATAGTGTGCCAGATACAGAACTTAATAAAATAGGTGTGGTTGTCTCTGTCCCCATGGAACTACAGGGGTTGAGGGGAGCACAAAAATAAACAGCTCATTGTTGAGTGAGTGGGTGAATTTGCTTAAACTAATAAGGGAGGTGAGGACTGAATAAAGGCTCCATTCGGGTAAAAGGAAACGAAGCTAAATTTAGAGTACTCACTGTGAGCTTGGAGGTTAGACCCTGTGAGGGTTTAATTCTGGACTCCATCCGCCACTGGGCAAGTTTCTGAAATTCTCCGTTCCTCCCTTTCTTCTTCTCTAAATTGGAGATAATGGTAATTTCCCATTGGGTTTTTGTGCAAAGTAAAAGCAACACCCCTCCCTACCATTCCCCACTTCTTTGCGGGCACTCATCCCGTTTACCAGCAGGCTTCCATTTAGCCTCTGACCATCTTGAACTGTCAAGGAAGCACCCTGACCCAGAGGTCATCCATGACCAAAAATAAAAACTGACAGCCCACCCCCAAATTCCTGGGACCTAACTAGTTAAAACATGCTCTGGACCAAGCTACCTAAAGCACCTTTTGAGGATATGCCCAGGCCTAGGGGTTGACAACCAGCGCCTGCAGAAGGTGTGGTCCTCTCCTCAGGGAAGTTGATTAGAATGAACTGGGTTTCTTGATTAGAAAAATGAGGCTTCTGAGCGCCAAGCTCAGCCCAGATGCTTCTGGGAGCACAGCCTTTGCATTCCCACCTGAGTCTCCTGAAAATCTGACCTCCCCCATTGGTTCAGCTGAGGCAGCAGTCCTTGAAAAGAAAGGCAGAGCTGGAGAGTAAAGGAAGGCCCAGGAAGTCCACGGTCTGGGAATCAGCTCGGTGTAGCCAGTTACTGGCACAAATGCATAAGCCACATCCCTAAGTGTCCTCCTGCACCAAATCATGGGTTTTTTCAGCCAGGGGTCAGTCTGTCCCAAGCATTTAAACTGGAGGTAAAATGTTACATTAAAAGTGCTAGAAGGACACCCTCCAAAACAGAAACAAAATCTCTTAAAGCTTCTTTTTAATTAAAAAAAAAAAATGGGCACAAGAAATACTCAAATCAATAATAGTAATGAAGTTACTTCTTAGCTTGACTGTCCTGGACCGGAAACCCCCTTCCTTTGTCCTGCCAAGGGCGTTGGGGCCAAACAGGTGGAACCTGAAACAGCCCTGAAACCTAGAAGCAGGAGACGCGCGCGGCCCAGGTCGCCATGGAAACCGAGGCGGGGGCGGATCCCGGCACGTGGGCGGGATCGCGCAGGGGCTGCCGGGTAGACGCCGCCGAGTGGCCCCTCTGGGTTTAGCGTTTTATATTGAGTGCAGACAGTGACTTCTGGGTTCCCGTGTCCTGCAAGAGTTTAGACCCTGCGGGGACCCGGAGAGGGAAAAAGCAAGTTGCTTCCCAGCCCAGAACCTGCAAAGCTGCCAGATGTACAGTCACCTGTGTGGAAACCAAAATCTCACCGGTTAGAAACTCAGACCCCCGTCCCCGCTCCTGGGCTGATAAATCAAATAAATCTCCGCGGCGAGGACCCAGAATCTGGATTTAACCAGGTGCTTTATAGGGTCGGGAGGTTGGGAGACCCCGCCTTCGCCTAATCTTTTTACTCAACACCACTACCGCCACCCTATAATGATAAAAGAATCCGCACCCCAGTATCCTCCCCAGCGCCCCTCAAAGGCGGGAGGTGAAGTGGGGGTGAGGGGGGCTGAGGGAGGTGAGGGAGGTGAGGGGGTGAGGGGGGTGGGACGGTCCTTGGACTCGGAAATGCAGAGCCCATTCAGTTGCTTGAATTGAGGTTTAGTAAGCTGCTCTTTGCGGGTTTCCCACTTGGGGGCAGCGTCGTTCTTCATGCCTGTGCATTGCGTAAAGCAGTGGTCCCAGGTGTTCCTTCCTGTTAATTGTGGCTGCAGTCTCCTTAATACAAACTTGTTTAGAGAGCGGAGCTGGATGCTGAGAGATATCTCCTTAGGAGGAATGGGCCGGTAGCAGAGCCTAGGGCTCTAAACGTGAGAAGCTCTTAGCTTCAATTCTTGGTTTACACTTGAGGTTGAGAACAAAGAATCCAGGCTTGCAAAGCCATAAGGTTTTTGTTAAGAATGACACCTGTGCACTAGACAACAGATTTCTCAGCCCTCTGAGCCTTATCCTTTATTGGGCAATGGGACGAGACCTCAGGATTGATTCAGACAGCCCCAGCCCTGGCTAGACTTGAAAACTAGGCCTGGGCCCTGGAAAACCCCGAGTCTCATCTGCTCATTTTCTGGTGAAATGTGGGAGGGACTCGCTTCTGCACTAACGGGAATCCCCATGCTTTAGTCCTCCCTGACAGTGAAAGCTGGACCTGTAATATTTGCACAGCCTCCCTTAGAGGTCTGGGGGAGGCTCAGCTCAATAGAGGGAGGTAATCTATGGGTCTCCACTAGCCTATGCGTTTACCATGCCTTTTTATAATAACCTGTTTATAGGTCTGAATTCTGTGTTACTGCTGCATACATATAAGTAAGCACAGCTCGTTCTGTATTAGCCTGGAATGTACTTCTCCAATTCAAACTTCTGGATCGTGAATTGTTGTTAAAACGGGGTGAAGGGACTGAGATGAGTAAGGCCAAGTGAGCAGGCCATAATATGCCCCTTGGGATAATAGTTGTTTCACACAAAAGGGGGCCCATAGTCAAATAAGGGTGTAAAACATTTTATTAAATGTATTTCTTTATGTCGGCTTTTTTTTCAGAAGCTTTCCTAAATTAGCCTGTATCATGACTCCTCAAGATAAAGCAACTATATGCAGCATTTCTAACACTTACTTCCCATGGCTCCTTTTTTCTAAGAGGGACATGCAGAGCAACTAATCTGCAGGGCACACCTTGAGAAACACTAAACTGGAGTGACAATAACCTCCCACAAAGTCTGTGTAAGGCAGCATGGTACAGAGCTGTGCCCGCGTCTGGTTTTTCAGCGAAGTGATGGCAAAATAGATTTGGGCTGCCTTCTTCAGGAGCGGGATGGGAGCAGCCATTTGAAAAACAGAGGATAAAGAATTAATTTGCCATGAGGACACGTCAGCAGTTACATTTCAGGTGCTTGATATTCTTTAGTTTCCAGGCAGACCTCGTTTTATTGCATTTCACTTCATTTCGCTTCACGGATGTTGCGTTTTGTTTTGTTTTTTTACAAATTGAAGGCAAGACTCTCCACCAGCCAAAAGATTGACTTGCATTTACCGCAATGAGCTAGAACTGAAACAGCGACATCTTGAGGTATGCCTGTATTTAATCCTCACAACCACTCTCTGAGATTTCGGTTTATACCCATTTTAGAGAAAAAGAAACTAACACTAATTAATTGAATATCATGTCTGAGCTTGTGTAGGCAGGAAGTGATAGGGCTGGCATTTGGAGCCAGATCTTCCTTGAGTACATTGCAGAACCCAGGCCCTGCACCAGGGCAGCCAGCAGGGGATGGGGGGAAAACACTAGGTTTCATTTTCATGGTCACCTGAGCAATTAGTGCTGAAAAGTGAGAAAGAGAATAGTCAGCTTTCAAAGAGTGAGCAGAAGGCCCCGAAAGTTGGCTTTTGGTGGTGGCAGTATCTAAGCCTTCTTCCAAAGGCTTATGGTCATGAAAAATTAGGAAATTTATTAGACTAGTGTCAAAGCAGTGACTTAGTAACTGACAGAATTTGCATAGAGTCAGAGGAGAAAATCAAGTTTGTCTTTGAATTTCCTGGTTTTGTTGAATGGGAGAAGGAAATGCCATTAGTCAGGCTTGGCAACAGGAGAACCAAGATTTTTTATTTATTCTAAAAAAATCTTTTACATTTTCGTTATTTTTCCGTTTTGTTTTGATGGAAAGCTAATGAGTTAGCCTTGAATAGAATGAACCTGAAGAACCAGTGAAATATTTAGGTGGACCAAAACAGGTGAAACTGGGGCTGGATTCTGGATTATACCAGTTTGGACTGCAGGTGCTACTTAAAATCATTAGCATAGATAGGATCAGCTGGAGAAAATGTTTTGCGATTCAAGAGGACAGACATTTCGGGACACCAGAGGAGAAAGCAATTTTGAAGGTGACACCAACGATCCTTTAAACTTGTTCTGAGTTTCCCATCTTTTGCCATCCTCTACACAGACACAGAGCGGTAGCTGCTGTGCAAAATGGAGAATGGAGATGGCAAAGTACAGAGGGATTTCTTTGTGCTAAGGCTGTTTCCAGAAAGAAGTATGACTTTTTAGAACCCCAGGAAATTTCTCTCTCTCTCTCTCTATCTTTCTCTCTCTCTCTCTCTCTCTCATGTTTTAGGTTCACAGTCAAAGAAAGGCTGAATCCCCAGAGTGAATGAATCAAAATAAACCATAACATAAAAGTCTGTTCATTGAGCTTGCTCTTAAATGCCTGCTATCGTGTGTATCCTGCAGGACTCATGAGAAGGCCCATTTAAGCACAACAAAGATGCTTTCGGGAGTTCAGGAGGCTACCAGGTCAGCTGGTGGAGTTCCTCCTGGAGTGCTCCTCCTCCTATCAGTAGGCATGGCCAGAATGCCTTTTTGTCTGCAGATCTGGCCCGGAGTTAGCCAGACTCAAAGCGCACATGTCTGAGAGAGATAGTTACCTGGCAGCATCGCTGTGTGAAACCGAATAAGAAGTCCCAGTGAAAGTGAGGATCAGAAATTAGAAGCTGGGAAAGGCACACACACTCAGCTGCTGAAAGAAAAGGGCCTGGGGCCTGCTGCTTTCATGTATGGTTACAATGATAAACTAGCAGGGGTAGCTAGCGGGTGTCAGAAAATACCTGACAGCTCTTAGACTTGAGTAACTCTTTGATAACAGGCAGTATCCAACCTTCAAAAAAAAGTTTATTCCCAAAGTCATTTGTATGTCAGTTGTTTGAATCTGGAAATGCTTTCATTGTCAGAACAGTTCCTATAATTCATTTACCCTCATAGGCATTCACTCATTCTGTAGTAGCCAACAGATACTTAATAAGCACCTACTGTGTGCCCACTAGACTGCTAAACATATAGCAGTGAACAAGCAGCCAAAAATATTCTTGCTATCATGGAACTTCAATTCTAGTGGGAGGAAACAGACAATAAATAAATAAGAAATAATTAAGAAACGCGTGTTGTACATTAGATAATGATAAATACAAATAAGGAAAAATAAGTAGGCATGGGGGAAAGATGTGCTGAGGCCTGTGTTCCTGGAAGGCCTTATTGAAAAGGGAACATTCAAGCAAGGACCTCAGAGTTGCAGAACTCTGAAGATATGTGGGGGATTGGCATCCAGAGCTGAGGGGAAAGTAAGTGCGAAGGCCCTGAGGTGAGAGCACCAAGGCATGTTTGAAGACCAGTAAGAGGTGGTGTGACTGGAGTAGACTGACAGGTAGGAGAAGGATAAGAGGTGAGGTCAGAGAAGCAATGGGAAGCCTAGTTCTATAGTCTTGTTTTCCTTTTTCTCTGAGATGTGAACCTGTTGAAAGGTTTTGAGAGAATGGTGTGACCTGACTTACATTTTTAAATATTGAGATATAATACATGTACCATTAAATTCACTCACCTAAAGTACACAGTGTAGAAGTTGTTAATCTATTCAGAGTTGTGCAACCATCAGTATTATATAATTCCAGAATATTTTCATCGTGCCAAAAGAAGCCCTGTGTGCATTAGCAGTCACCCCCATCCTCCCATCCCCCAAGTCCTTGGAAATGAGTAATCTTTCTGTCCTGTGAGCTTGCCAAGGCTGGACATTTTATAAAAATGGAATCATAAATATGTGGCCTTCTGTGCCCAGTTTTCCTTTCACCTGGCACAGTGGTTTTAGGATTCATTGATGTTGTAGCCTGCATCAGTCCCTCATTCTTTTTCATGGCTGAATGGTATTACATAAATGGATATACCATACTTGTTTATCCATTCATCAGTTGATGACCATTTGGGTAGTTTTCACTTTGGGGCTATTATGGATAATGCTTTTATAAACAGCCATGTGCAATTTTTTTTGTGTGAACATATGTTTTTAGTTCTCTTGGGTATATACATAGAAGCAGAATTGCTGATTTACATGGTAACTCTGTTTAACATTTTGAGGATCTGCAAAACTGTTTTGTTTTGTTTTCAGAGTAGCTCTATCTCAGCAATGCATGAGGGTCCCAATTTCTCCATATCCTCGCCATCTTTTATTTTATTTTATAGCAATCCTAATGTATGTGAAGTGGTATTTCATTTGGTTTTTCATTTGCATTGAGCATCTTTTCATGTGCTTATTGGACATCATATACCTTCTTTGGAGAAATATCTATTCATATCTGTTACTCATTTTTAAATTGGGTTATTTGTGTTTTTATTTGTGAGATGTAAAACTTCTCTATATATTTTATTTTTTTAATGTATATATATTTTTATTGATTTGGGAGAGGGAGAGAGAGAGAGAAACATCAATGATGAGAATGAACCACTGATTGGCTGCCTCCTGCACACCACCTACTGGGGATCGAGCCCGCAACCCCGGCATGTGCTCTTGACTGAGCAAAACCAGCTAGGGCTCTTTA